GAAAAAAAAAAAAAAGTCAAAATCACAGTAACTATCGCATATTTCAGAAAGGAGAATTATCCGATAGGGTAATAAATAATATAATACATTTTTTAAATCCCAGCAACAGCACAGAGAGATGCAAGCAGCGCCATTTACAGAACCAAGAAAAGCAGATGAACGAGTAAGGGAGAGCCAGAAAAAAAAAAAAAAAAAAAAAAAAAAAGAGAGAGAGAGAGATAGAGAGAGCCCAAGGCGACGAGAAGGTGGAAGGCATCATTTTACCCCATCATTCAGAATTTTCAACCCGATCCATTATTCATTCACATCCACATTTTTCCAAGCATCCTCCCCCCCCCCCTTCTTTATCTACTTACTACTCAACGAGTCGCACTGGAAAAAAAAAAAAAAAAAAAAAAAAAAAAAAAAAAAAAAAACAAACGTAACTTTCACTCGTCTCCCGCCTGCAGGAACGGATTGGCGATCTCCTCGCTGCCATCGACGGGCGAGATGAGCACGAGCAACGTACCACGCGCAACAATGAGGCCGAGGGAGCGGGTTGTTTGATTACCCTCGTCGTCTGCGCCAGGGGGGAGGGAGGGGGTAGAGTTAGAGATAGTTAGTTCGTTCATGTTGAAACTTTGGGATGGCTCGCTGGCTGGCTGGCTGGAGTAGATGAGGGCTGATGGAAGGGATGGAAAAGGTATTTGATATGATATGATATGATCTGTAGTTACTTACCGCGCATAACTTCCCTAACGTCATCGAGGACGAGGTTCATGAGCTGGTCGTAGCCCTTGAGGGTGCCGGTGACTGGAAGGGGAATGGATTCGGTTAGCTCGATCGACATTATTGGTTTTTCTCAGAGGACGGTGGGCGATGCATAGCAATGGTGATATTGGGTGTAAGGAGAAGGTGGCATGGGCGGGGGGGGCACATTGCCCGCCCGGAGCATGTTTCAGGATCTCCTCCATTGAAACAAATGATACGGGACTTTTTTGAAGGATGAGAGAATGGGTACTGCAGCAGCAACCATGGCTGTCATTTTCAACAGAAAAGGTGTGGTGGGGTAATAAATGTTCAGTATCATCCAATGTTCAAAACCGCGGATGAGAATCGCAAAGGAGCAACACTTCTCCATCAAGGCAGATTTTAACAAAGGTAGAAGCACGAACCAATAAAAGAAGAAAGCAGGAAATGAAAATACAGATACTAAAATAACAAATAACAAAATAAATAAAACAAATAAATAAAAAAAGTGAACCTACTAACCTTCTCTCCCCCCATTGAACTTCACACAAACCTCCTTCTCCATATACTTCGTCAGGTCCAAAATATTCTCTTTCTTCGGCTTCTCCTGCTGCTGTTGCTGCTGCTGCTGCTGCTGCTGCTGTCCGCCTTGCCCGCCTCCTTGCCCTCCACCCTGCTGCTGCTGCTGCTGATGCTGGTGATGTTGATACGATGCACCGCCACCCACGCCGCCACCTCGCTGGTTCCGGTAGCCATAGCCGCCTGCACCACCAGCTCGACCTCCGCCGCGTCCACCACCCCGGGGACCGCCCCGGAAGGAGCTGCGTTCGGACATGATTGCGGGGCTTACGCGGGGGGGGGGGGGGGTGTCCATGATTGAAGCGGGGTTGATTGGGAATTGCGATTTGTCCCTTTTTGTTGTGCCCGTGCCCTGGGGAAATTAAAGCCCGGGAGGGGGGGGGGGGTGGAGATTGGGGGTTTTGATACAAGGTGGGTGTTTTTGTGTGATTGATTTATGATGGATCGTTTACTGTTTGGTTTTGGCGGAGGAAGCGCTTTTTGGTTTTTCGGTGGTGTGTGGATTTATGTTTCGGGTGCGTTGACTTTTCGGGAGCTTTGGTTTGTTTTTTCCTCCTTGACTTCGACGAAGTATATAAACTGCGCATGCAATGATACCAACCACATCCATGATTCCCCCGGTCTTCTTCCTTTTCTTTCGGAGATTTCTAAGCGCGGGGGCAAGTGGAAAATACAAGAGATGCAAGGAGAGATTAAAAGCTGTAAAGGAAAATCAATATAAGAAAAAAGGGTCGTGGATTCTTTGGTAGCTTTCTTGCCTGGTTACCAAGTACTAATAGCATTCATTCATTGTAGGTCATGAGCTTCGCAGCGGGGACGGACGTTCCGTCCACTCAACTCTGATACGGATTCCGCTGGGATGAGGATATGTTATTTTATGAAACATACCAGAGGCATGCGGGTGTTACTTGTAAGTAGTTACCCAATGATATGATTTAGAGTGATCAGATCGTGTGTGTGTGTGGAATTACCCCACAGAGCATATTAATGTCACTAGAACAATTACAAAAAGAAGAAAACAACCAGAGCAGTCTATTCAATGGGGAACTAGCGGTCAATAAATTCCTAAAGGAGAACGAGAAACAACACGGAGTAGAGTAGCTCAGTCAGTATCTCGGCCCGCAACCCGGGTAACAGAGTACTGGCGCTCTAGTCATACAGTTCTTTCGGCGTTGTATGATCCCGCTTCAGGCTGTTGGGAGCCGTGACCTTAATCCCGCTCTCAATTCGCGACAATGTCATATCATACCCCTTATAGTCGCACCAGGACTTAGCCATCTTCGCCGCATTCTTAATCTCTCTGCCATTCAGCTGCCACATAGCCAGCTCCTTCAGATCCTCATCCGTGATTTCTTTCATCACACTCCTTACTTCTTGCTCCCCATCTGCCTCCTCGCCAGGGCGCGGCGCCATTGGTGGCATTCTTTCCAGGAACTTCCGCCATACGGTCTCGCGCGTCTCTGGAGTGAGGGGGCTGAATAGAAGGTGCAGATTGAGGCGCGATCGGAAGGCAGTGTCGATAGTCTCGTATAGATTGGTCGTCAGGAAGATGATGCCTCGGAAGTATTCTAGTTCACGCAGGAAGATCGAGACAAGTTCGTTGCGCGCGATGTCGTTGGGATGGCGCTCTGACATGAAGACATCGGCTTCGTCGAGCAGGATTACCGCGTCCCATTCGATTGCCATTTCAAAGACTCTCTTAATCTTCGGGCCAAGTTCGCTGGCTAGGATTCCCAGATCCTCCGCTTGGAGGTAGAAGAGTGGCCGGCGGCATCTGTCGGCCACTGATTGTACGCCAAAAAATGGCCCAGTTAGCGGCCTTCATGCTCTTATCGTGTTGGAGAAGGGGTATCATTTACTCACCCGCTTCCGCAGTCAGTGTTTTCCCAGTGCCAGGAGGCCCGCTCAAGAGGATATTCAGTCCCTGGCCTAAGGAAGTGGACAGTTAAGTTAGTAATGGAAGTTTCATCTTCCAAATGCATGAGCTTCAACTAACCTTTCCCTGCGATGACGTCATCATCCCGGCGCTGTGTCCCATGGTGATTCTCAACAAAGGATAGAACTAGATCTTTCTGTTGCTTGTCGTACACTAGATGTTCGTAAGCTTCATCGTTCCATTCCACAGGCTTGAGTTCGTCAACGTAGAAATTCACTAAAAAATAGGGTCAGCGGATGTTACGCAACAGCACTTTCTTATAGATCGGGCAACCATACACCACTCTTTGTTTCTCAGCGCATATCCGTGAACTATATGTTGTAGGAGAGCCATGTCATCGCCAATTTCGAGCATTTCCTCCTTGTTCTTGCGTTGTTCCTCCTCCGAAAGATAAATTTTTGTAGACGGCGAGCCATTCTCGAGGAGCGTGCTCCGGCTGGAGGCGGGATCATTGGGATCCGCATCCTCCACGGGCTTCAGAACTCGTTTGAGTACCAATTTCTTATGATATTCGGGGTCTTTCATTTCTTTCATTGGTTGTTTCAATTGATATTTGTAGTATCCTCTCGCGTCGATAAGGATTCTGCCATCAACCTAAACAAGAAAATATTAGCGGCGACTTTCGCAAAGCCTTGACTAGGTATCTTAAGTCGTATACATTGTGTCTTTTCCCATCAGAATCAATTGCAATATCCGTGTAGGTCTTATATTGAAGACCCTGTAGTTCAAGAACATTCGTAGCCCTAGCCTTCAACCTCGCAATGACGGCAGCTGGATTTTCGTGGAACCGCAACGGGTAATGGAGGAAGCTTGTGTGATGGGCAAATTTG